ATCCTATACATTTAATATCTTCTTGAACTTTAGACATACTGCATAGCAACAAAATTAATTAATTTTACATTATAAATCTATTTTATACTGATGTTCATAAGAAAAAAGTCAACAACAACTCATATTCATTAATAAGTTGTAATCACCATAGAAATTTTTATGTGTATTACATTAAATTTGTTGGTTATTTTGAATATTTTAATGAATATTTTAAACAAAATTATTAAAATTTACTTCAAATATTTTACAAAAATCTATTTTTCATAAACACAATCAATTGAATCATTGATAATATTTTGTTCGAAATGATCGTGACCTTGTATATTAGCTATATTTGAAATTTACTTTAAATTAATCAATATTAATGAAAAGATGGAAAACATGTTTATTTTTTAATTCATTAGCGTTATTTACTTGTGTTTGATATATGCTTTTTATGTAGTTTTTTTAATAAGAAGTACGAACAAAAATTTATTTTTATGTTGATTTCTTGCTTAACTATACCTAATAATGAGTATATAGGTTTCATTACCAAGGTTGTATTTAGTAATTTCGAATAAATTGAGCACTGGGTAGATTGTTATAAAAAAATAATATATTTGTAATATCCTAATGAGTAGAATAATTAGATTTTCTGACGTTTCGTGACTTAGTGTAAGCTACTTCTTATCCTCTGAAGAAGTATCTTACACTAAGTCACGAAACGTCAGAAAATCTAATTATTCTACTCATTGGGATATTGCAAATATATTCTTTATTTATATACCTAATAATATAGAATGTTTTGTATATGAAAGAATTTGAGAAAATATTTAATAAAAGATACTTATTATTAATAAAATGTTCATTTATGAAGAGGTAAAATATTATCATTTGATTTTCTACCAATTAAGATGTTTTCATCTTTAAAGAATAATTCAACATACTTTTCCTTTATTGAAATTGACGCCTTATTTTATGTTTAAAAAAATTTACACATCAAAAAAAAGAAACTTAGTCGAAAAATAAAACATACTGCAAGATGAATTATTAACAAGTTTACAAATGTGAAACAAAAACCGAAATCCATAAAACACAATTGAATCAATCTTAAATAAAGTCATTATTTTTCGTGAATTTCTATTCCAGAATGAGTATTTGTGAAGATTGTAGTAATTTTAGTAGTTGAATTCATGAGTTGATGTAAACTAGATTATCACTGAAAACCTGGAGTGAGAAGCTGTGACCAGTCGCGTAACATTATGGGTCATTTGAAGTTAGACGCTTTGTTTAAGTCTGTTATTGATTAATTTAACTACCCATGTTCTGAATAGTGTTTCTGCAAAATCAATCTGAAATTGTCCTCTTACTGGTTATATTTATGACTGCATTATATATATATATATATATATATATATATATATATATATCGCTTACATTCTTTAAACAGACTTCTTATTTTCATTGTATTAAAGTAGAAGAACGTTATTTTTTTATCAAAATAATATCACATGATAAACAATCAACTATCATTTATATCAGTGAAACTATTTAACGAAAAAAATGCAACAACAGATGAACACAGGTGATTAAGCCATGTGTTTTTCTTAGAAAAAACAACAACGAAATAAGCGGTTGTCGACTTTCTACAAATATACATTAGACATTTGTCTATACCTAAAATATATATATATATATATATGCTGATCTCATGAAATAGAAAAATGCAAATACATTAATCAATCTATAAATTAATATGTAATTATTTAGTTATATACAATAAATGATAGAAGAATAAAACAAAAATGTTATTTATTTATTTCAGTTATTACTTTTAATGATATAATAACTTCATGAAGTTTTTATTATATGTTCTACTTTTAAAAGGATTGTTTGATACAATAGAAAGATAGTTCATTTGAATTTTTGAAACTATTCGGTAGTATGTTGGTCTACAGTTACCATCAGTGTAACTTCTTGTGTATGCGAAACATTTTGTTCTTGATGACTGGAGTATAACAACAACTCCCTTGAAGCTAGTCTTTGTTGTCCAATTTGCGTTCAATGTGTTTCATTGACTCCGAGCCCCTCTAAGTTGTATCTCTTCATTTCTGCAGAAATTTGGAATACTCTTCAGGTCTCTCACATTGTACAACCATTCTATCTACGTAAATTAATGGTTTCTCTGATTGTCAGAAAAGTCATAGCCTTGTGACTTCCGAAGGAACTCGACTTTCACCATGAGGCGTCTTAACTCTTCTAAATGAAAACCTTCTGACTCCCAGGGCAGAGTTTAAATGGTTTGAATTATTTTTTCTGATTAGCTTTTTTTTAGCGATTTACTTTTTTTACCGGATGGGTTCACTAATCCCATTACGAACCCTTCTACTTTATCCGGGCTTGGGACCTTCAGTAACCCCAGAGGAGCTCCAGGAGACGTTGACCTACGACCTTAATTTAATTGTATAAATATGTCTTATAACAATGAAATGAAGTACATTAACACAGAAGGATAAGGTTGAAAATCAAAGTTTTCTGTAACAACGAATGCTGAGTTAAATTATCACTATGGTAATTGAATAATTCACTTTACTAGTATTTTTTATTTGTAATATCTCTTCGCTTCAAACAACATTATCCTGTGATTAAAATAACATAAACCTAAATAAACATCGAAGAGGATGATAATTAATCTCTAGCTCTTTTATGCTCAATGCTAAGCAGCATAATGTTCACTTTCTTAATACTAATAAACAAAAATAAATATATGTCTTAATCAATTCAAAATGAAAAGTAAATACATGTTTCTATTCGACAAAAACAATGTTCTATTCATTTACACACTATCATTGTTATTATTGTTTTTTTAAGTGAATATATTTTAGTTATTACAAAGCTTGTTAACAGTTTTATTTAAAAAATTTCACATGACACGAGCTAATAGTGTCAATTACCGAAGATAGATGTCATGGTAACATGTGATGTTTACTATTTATATTTTACATTGGACAGCGTTCAGAAATTAATGAGACGAAATCAACAATGATATTTTCAAACAAAACAAACAACGTTAATTTTATTTTGTATGTCTACAATTTTTGTTATAATGTCTAAAATAATAAAAAAAATAATAAACAACAGTAATAACAATAATATTGTCAATAATAATGGTAGACAAACGACTAATTTACAGTATTTAAACAACTTGATAAGTTAAAACCGAGTAAGAGTTACAAGGTTTATTGAATAAAATGAATTCACCAATTGATTTTCCAACATCTCATATACTGTAAACAACTTCAATTAGTATAATTGTGATAGGTATTCTAAACGAAATTGAAAGTTATGATAAGAATAATAGAATATAAAACTATATTTTCTTCATTTTCATTACTAACACCTAAAGCCTTTTCTGCACGTTTAAATATGTATTAATCTTAATTATATTTAATATCTTTTGTGACTTATTCTCATTACAATATTGTATTTCATTTTAAAACATCCACATTAATTGCATTGTTTAGAAATTGACCACTCTCAGGAATTATATTTTGTTTCAATAAGGATTTAACACATATTATACCATATTACATTACTGATATACCAATTCTCTATAAACTTAATGTATTCTAAACAGTTCGCAGCATCAAACTGAAATTACCTGAAGTTAATTATTATGCAATAATATATGATAAGGTTTAATTGTAAAGATACTGTATTTTTTAAAATGAAAACAATTGTTTGATTATCATCTTATATCATTAACACAATTATTGTCAAACAGAAATCAGTGGATAAGTATATTAATTAAATTTAGAACTTCCTATTAATGTACATTATTTGATAGTAATTTGTAATTGTAAATCAATCTTTAAACTATAAAAGCTCTTATTCATAATCTTAAAGAATATAAATATATAAGGATATATTTTATGTTATGTAGAGTATAAAAGGATAAATAAAGCCTGTTTAGTCAGAATGGACAGAAAGTTTTATTTTCGTTTCACAAATGATATCAATCTATAATGATAATAATACTGGGTTTAAATGATTAACTGTCGACAAATCAAATGGAATGGTGAAATAGTTTTCAAATTGTTATAACCTTATACTTATATACCTTGATACTTCATCAAAATAATTAGAAAGTTTGCTGTCGACTACTTGTGAGTAGTACACATTCCATTGTACAATAAATATATTGTGATTTTTTGAGTTTTCCTATTGGTTTGCAATCTTTTAGTGATTAGATGAAATTTATCGATCTTAATTTCATATAATGTCTAACAGAGCATGTTGTGGCTAAACTATGCTTCTATGAGCAGAATGGTTTTATGTTAGATTTATTCGATAATCGAAGCATTTCATATTATTTTAATAGTTGAGATCATGAATCAATTGGTCGTCACAATCGTGACTCGTCCTATTGTGGGACTCCTCAGCATTACGTACCGACGATCCTGCACCGCTAGATTCGAACCCAGTCTCGCAAGCGAGCGCTTAACCTCTAGACCACCGAACAGGCACCCAACCGTGTTAATGTCTACTATCAACTAATCCACGAAATTGAGCGACAAATCCAACATTGTCATCAGTGAATTACTATCTCACAACAATTTCTGTTAAACTCCACTGGTCACTGATGTAAAATGCTGTAAATCTAGATAATCTGATCCACATATAAATAGTTATTAATAAGACTTTCTCATCAAGTTTAACAATATCTATTAACTGATTCAATTAATTTAATGATAGTAATTTATTTTATTTTATTATAATCAATACTTTCATTTAGTCTACTAAATATTAGACTGTCAGACTAGATGATAGTCATTCAACCTCTTGCTCTCTTTCTTTTATCCTTCATAAACTATAGATTTACACATTTATCTAATATAAACAATTGTTCAAAAATCAATATACTGAATTTCAACATAATTATTACTCACTAATTAAACAACTAATAATAAATAAATAATAATTAATTAAATTATTTTCTTTTTATATCTTTGTCTCAACAGATTTTCTATGTGGGCTGTACAGCTGATAAACATTCAATATCAAATTGCTCACAATTTTCTATGCAAAAATTTAATAATCAAATATTACAATATTCAAATGATAAAGTAAATCCATATCATAATAATAACAACAGTAATCATAATACTAATAATAATAATCCAGGTAGATCAAGTTCATATGTGTTTAAATGTTAATGATCTTGTTTTTCTATTTGATCTATATGAATTATGTTATAATGGTGATCAATGTTCAAAGATTTCCTTGATAATGTTACGATAAAATAATAAACTCGAATTTGTTGTTTATTTTCTAAACTACTGAAAAAATTTATTATTTAAACTATAAAAGAAAAAAATAATTTAAATAGTTTTAGTATATTCAATATCATTATTAACACAACTGAACTAAATTATTGAAACGGATCAGTGATTTTTAATAATATAAAAGAAATATTTATTATTGAAAGCCCTGATACAGTCTATTTAAAAGAAATTCAAAGATATTAATTCATTTAGTTATTTGTGTCTGAGAAATGTTTAAGCTTACTCTTTTGATTAGATTTCAAGGGTATCTGTGACCTTTTACTTAATAAACTAAATTTATAAGATTTAGTTCTGTAGTTATTGAAATCGAAGTACTTTTGTATTTCAAATTAACGGTAAAATCTAACTTCATGGAAATAATTTTAATGAAGAATTGTTTTTAAGAGAGTAGAATATCATTCGAATGACATGTAAAAAAAAACTAACGAAAAGTGAGAAGTTTACTTGGTGTTGCTTTACTTGTATCAGTCTCATTGAGGCAATCTACACAGGATGCACATATGCCAACATATGACATAAGTTGCAGTCCTAAATAACAATGGGAAGATGCAACTAAAACAACACCAAGTAAATTTAAATTTCACCCCATTGCACAAGCAGGTGGCTATCAGGACTCAGTAGCTAAGCGGATAACGCGATGGCGTTTGAAGTGAACGGTAATGGGTTCAGGTCACGGAGTGAACATGAACTCTGGGATGCTGGCACATCCAGCTGACGAGTCCCAAATAAGACGAAACGCGCGTCCTGGATTCTACCACTAGCCACTACCCATTTTTGCTTAAAAAAAGTAATCTATGGATATTTTGTCCTAGATCTTAACTCTTCAATACTACATACACAGTTTGAATACATGAACTAAAAAGTCAATCGTTGTCGGTAGTGAAATAGAAGGCGACAAATAAATTGTATATTGTGGATTGGTTGAAGTTAGACATTAAAACCGTTGGGTGCCTGCTCAGTGGTCTAGTGCATAAGCGCATGCGCGCGAGACGGATATGTCCGTGGTTCGAATCTCGCGGGGGCGGGATCGTGAATGCGCATTATTGAAGAGTCACACAATAGGACGAAATAGCCGTCTAATGCTTCCTGGTTTTCCATTATCTAGCTTCAAATGACTCATGAATTCAGCCATTAAATTACATGAGAATTGATATTTGTTAGAAACAAGTGACTAAAGAAGGAATCTAAGTCATCACAATTTCAGTTAGTGTCTTGGAGGTAGAATGTTTTACCAGAGAAAGATGAAACTCCTTGGCTTGTTGTTTGTACGGTTTCGAGTATGTTTGATGTCGAGTGATCAAAAAATAGTATGCAGCATATATTCAGTACAGCCTATTGTTTACTGTTTGTTTCATCACATCAAATATCCAGTATAGGATAGTTTAAATGTACCCTTTTTAAATCAGTGAATGAAGTAGTAACAATTTTTTACTTAACCTTAGTCATTCTGTTTACCAACTATTTTCCTCATGTTTATTTCTTTTAATGTACAATAAAAGACAATCAATCAATGTTCAATGATTCTGATAATTTCTATCGAATTATACAACATGATCATATTGCCTATCGTTATGAGATTTTATCACTCCTCGGTAAAGGTAGCTTTGGACAAGTTGTCTCAGCTTATGATCATATGAAAGGATGTAAAGTTGCTTTGAAGATCATTCGAACGGAACCACGTTTTACACGTCAGGTTAGTTTTGTTTGTCTGTTATTAAATTATCGAAATAAGTAAATATTTCACCGTTGATGTAATTTTCACCATCTCTTGATGTAAAAAAGTTAAATAATACTAATGCAAGAGAATTTAACTGATTTTAATGGCAAAATATTTCAACATAGAATAATCTCCGCTGAGGTACTACTGAAAACCTAAAAAAACACCAATAGGCTATTTTGTCCTGTAATGAAACTCCTCAGCAGTGCATATTTACGGTCTGTTTTTATGTTACCTGCCGTGCAACCACATACGAAGACGAATAAGCTATCCAGTGTTTTTTGAACTTCAGTAGTACCTCAAGTGATATCAGTCTGCAAAATGAACCAATTTTGACACCTACTATCAACTATATTTCTGTACAAAATAAATGACTTAGAAGTTAAAACATACATTGAAAGATAATCCATTATTCCAAAGTATTCGTCAAAAAATTTAAATGCAATCTATTGTCCCGAAATAAGCTATTTGACATCTTACAAAGTATACCTCCAATCTTCAAGAAAATGATGCTTTATATGTGATGCAGTCACATGTTATCTCAGTGATACGAACTTATCATATTGATCATGACAGTAGAAAATTTTTTGTGAGTTTATAGATAAGCATCAACAAAGTCTTGCGTTGTTTTCATTAGTAATTCAGATCATATCATTCTCCAGCAGTAACGGTTATACAACGTCTACAAATGTTTCTATCAAATATCCAATACTATCTTTATTCATCTTGGTACACTGTGTTATGATATTATTGAACTGTCTTGTCATAACTTGTCAGTATGTGCAGATTATTTTGTAGAATGTATACAAGTCTTACAGTAATAATCAACCAAGTCATGATGAAAATCTATTACAGAAAAAAGCATAAGTAAACGTGATTCAAGTTATTAGACTTCATATTTTACCGTGCTAGTCATTCAACAATTCCTCTGCAAATTCTCTAAAGAATGTCTGGAAACTACTTTTCTGATTATTAATCTGTGGAAGCTTTCAAGCAAAATATAGAATATATCTGATCATTTTTTATCCTTAGTTGACATCTGCCGAAATTGCTATCAATTTCAGAATGTTTCCTAGAAACTTTTGGACTATCAAGTTAACACAAAACCTCACAAATCCTGTCATACTCTCAAAGTTAAATTAATCTCCAAAATGAAGTTTCTATATTTCCAATGACCTATTTTTGAGAATACAATACTTCTGAGTACTAAGATGTGGTCAAAAAGTTGCTATCTGCATATCCAAACATAAGACTTACAAAGTAATCAAAACCTAAACAACAGACAAGTTTAAAATCGAAATTCAAACAAAAAAAACTACTAAATACAATTTGAAAATACATTATACTCTTTCGTTTCTCCTGTTTACAAATGAGACAGAAATCAGTCATTTTTTTATTGCTTAGCAACATAATTATACACTTAAACAAGTTGAAAACTTCGTTTGTATTATATTATATGTTCATTTTATTTGCATAAAATTAAATTGATTACATTATTTTATTCACATACATACTTAAACATTATTGTATGATGAATAATCGTTAACTGAATTATTTTTCATCATTTTCATTCAACTTCAAATTCTCAGAAAAAAACTAGATCGATTATTTTTTACTTAAATTTGTGTACTTTTTTTCAAAGTACTGTAATAGTGAGCTATTATGTGAAAGAATAATTTATTTAGATACTATTCACAGTTTGGTGAATTACGATCGTAACGTCATTGATTTTAGTTTATACTTTGCGCTCTTTCTTCATCATTGATTAAAACAGACTTATATATATCAATAGTTGAAATCATGAGTCAATTGAAACAGACCACTATGGCAAACCTGGAAGCACTGGAAAGCCATTTCGTCCTAGTATGGGACTCTTCGACAGTGCGCATCCACGATCACGCCCCACGATATTCGAACCCAGGACCTATCAATTTTGTGCGCGAATGCTCAACCATTAGACCATTGAGCTGGTATCCTACGGTGTTAATGTCCAACTTCAACCAATCCACGAAATTTCGCTTCAATTGATTCATGATTTCAACTATTAAAATTACTAAAATCTCCACAAAACCCCTTCTGATTATACATATATACTTATTCTAACGTCACAAATTTTTTTAACTGTATAGTATATGTATTTGTAATTAGTGTAGTGATCTTTGTAACGATGAACTACTGATATGAAAATTTTAAGTCAACATCTAGATTATTCGCTACTAAGTACTTGATGTGCATGGACAGTTAAAAGTATTATGATTAGTAGGAAGATTATACGATTGTGGTTTGCCAACAAATTACATTTAATGCTGATAATTATTAGAAAAACGAAAAGAGCTATGATGTGATGTTTAGGTTATAAATATCACCTTCAAACTACTGACTCTGCTAAATCTATCATCAGGAAATGTAAATTTATAATTTAAGCGAAAACATTAACAACTTATAAGTAGCTGAACTACGCATGTCATATATAAGTTATGAATACAACTTGCTTTCAATTTATTTCGTCTGATTGATGTTTAGTAAAGATTCTCATGAGAATTCGTATTCTATCTAATAACTTTTCAGTTTTTCTGTACCATTTATATCTTTTCAAACATAGTTTTACTTCCTGACCTGTCTCTAGTTTAGTGATGATAGACATTTAAGGATATTTTCATGTTAGGATCTTTTCCACAAAGTTAATGAAATACATAGTTGATAAGCCAAATATCATTAATTAACAATCTCTATAGAAAAAAATCAATCAAGTGAGTTTACACCAGAGTAAAGTAATTACTATTTTACAAAATATTAATCACAAAAAATCGGTTGAAACTCAGCCATACATTTTTTTAATAATTGAGAGATAAGTCAAACAAGTTCACTTGGTATTGTTTACTTGAATCTTTCCATTGATGTTAAGGACTACAATTGATCAGTCTCAGAGTGAACATCAACACTGAGATGCAGGTATATCCGACTGACGAGTCCCAAGTAGGGCAAAACGCGTGTCTTGAATTCCACTGCTAGGCACTATACATCATTGCTTATAAATGAAATAATTTGATAATGAGTAGGTTTTTGTATTTCTTTCGATAAATTCTGTTCAGGTTTTACAAATCATATATCCAAATTATTAATGTGAAAAATGGCTAGGTTAAGGGCAAAGTACATCGTTTAAAGCATGTGTATTTAGGATTGGTAAACAAAACACAATAAAATTGTCAATGCTGATATGATCCATACAGAATGTTAATTCGAATCAGATTATATGTTCAATGAAACTTTAAGATCCATAATCGGAATAAATATGGGGCAGATAGGATGAGAGAAATAATAGTGCAATTATAATTCGATCAAATATTTAGTGGAAGAATATATTGTGTAAAAAATTATTGGTAAGACAAAATGAGGTGGGATGAGTGAGAAGTAAATGAATCATGTATAGGGGTGATCAATAGTGATGTTTAACCAATAATAATAATAACAATACAAAATTTGTGAATTTATCGAAAAGAATATTCTTCGTTCAAATATAAGTCTTTTGATTATGTTTATACTGAACTACAGAATAATTAATTACTATTTAATAACTGAATTTAAATTGACAGATTATGTAACTTGAAGTTGGAAATAAAATATTATGCATACTATCATTACAAACAGGCTATGCATAATGTTGTACATATAACTAAGTATGTGAATAACGGTAACTATCATTAAAAAAAACAAATATTTGTTTTTAAGAATGAATTCTGATAATCATCAAAAACGTGTAACTTACTTGTTTGATTCCGTTTTTTCGAATCTCGCTGGGGGGGGATCGTTTATGTGCACTGTTGAGGAGTTGCATACTAGGATGAAACGACTGTCCAGTGCTTCCAGGTTTAAAATAGTGGTCTAGCTTAAACTGATTCATGATTTCAACTATTGAAGTTACTAAAATCTCCACAAAATCCTTTCTGATAATAAATTTTTAAATGTTAAATAATCCTGAATATACAAGTTTGGTTCTCAATTATAATTAAATAAAATGATGACATTTTAGTTATAGAGTTCAATTATTCAATCGTATGTAAAAACAATTAAATAAATAAAAATGAACCGGATAAATATTTAAATGATCCCAAGTGTCTATTTTCCATTATCAATGATAATGATATCTAAAATATTTAAAAACTCTAATTTTTTTTGGTTATTTGTTCTCTAAAGAAGTGACTTACACTAAATCACGAAACGTCAGAAAATCTAATTTTTCTACTCATTTGGATATTACAAATATATTATTTATTTAATTCTAATTTTTGCTTATTCATTATCGTTAATTTAAATGACAATTTTCTTAAGTATTTAAATTATTTCCATGGAATTATATGAAAGGTCATATAATTTTTTTTGTTTATTTCTTTCAATTATATTTAATTTATTAAATAGGCACGTGAAGAGATACGTATATTAGAAACATTAAGAAATATGCGTGAATCTTCTGGTGGTGAATTAAATCGTTATGATTTTCCAATTATTAATTTATATGAACATTTTACATTTCGTAAACATATTTGTATGACATTTGAATTATTAAATATTAATTTATATGATTTATTAAAATTAAATAAATTTAATGGTTTACCAAGAGATCGTGTAAGACGAATATGTTTTCAAGTATTAAAAGCTTTACAATTTATACAAAAAGCTGGAATTATACATTGTGATTTAAAACCAGAAAATATTTTACTTGTTTGGCCACAATTACCAGAAAATGAAAGTACTAATAATAATAACAGTAATAATATTAATCAACAGAATTCACACCATCAATATGGTGATAATTATTATAAAAAATGTCAACAACATCAAAATCATTATAATGGTAATAATAATAATGGATATGATCCACTGAATAATTTACGTTCAATGTATCAACGTGTAACAGAACAAAAAGATTATGTAAAATTAATTGATTTTGGATCAAGTTGTTTTCAAAATGGTCAGCCATATCCATATATTCAGTCAAGATTTTATAGAGCACCAGAAATTCTACTTCGTTTAGGCTATAATGAAGCAATTGATACATGGAGTTTTGGATGTTTAGTGGCTGAACTAATAAATGGTAGGAAGTTTTTTCATTATTCATTTCTTTATTTATTTACATGAATATACTCTTCTTTGTTAATAAATTGGATTTCAAAAATATGGGATGCCAATATCTCTAAGGTTTTGTTCAATAATTAATCACTTCAATATCGTTCTATCTGAAACAATAATTGTAATTTACTGTTTAGTCATCACCATTAATTGTCTGCTGTGATAACGTCAGTATAACCCAGTCCGGCAAAGTGGATGTAAAACACAAACCTATTATAAATTACGGGTTAAAGTGAAATCTTTGGTAGATGTTGTACCCAAATATAGAACATTTGATTAATAAATAAATAAAAATTGATCAAAAATCTCATGTTTAACACTTGGTGGAAACTAAAATCGTAGCGAATATCCTTAAATACACAGTACATTATCAAGTTTATAAGATTAATAACACTATACATTCAATATAAATGTATCAGCTCAACAGTAGAACGAAGGTTATTAAAATAACTATTACCCGACCAAATTAGAAGTAAATTAAAATACTATGCAATAGTATGGTAGTTTTTTGCCATTACTGCTGGTTAGCTTCCACTACTTTGGAATTTTAAAGTTTTTAGATATTGATGAGAGAATTCAGAAAGTTATAATGAGAAGCAGTAACAAATGAAAATCAAACAAATCAACGGTTAGATAGATGTGATCGATTTCTATGTATTTCTATGTAGTCGGATATCCAAGACTAGGTGAAGTTATAAATGTGAGTAACTAGATTGTAACTCAGTGGCCCAGATATAATGAAGTCTCTGAATGTCTTGAGGTCGATCCTAAACAGTGTTATGAATGCCCACAGTTGAGGCATCTAGAACTAGGATGAAATTTCTGCTTACGTCGTCCACTAGACACTTTTAGTTGCTCAGCGAAATTCATCCGGTGATGAAAAAAGACTCTCATACCACTACACTGCAGATCTAATTTTAATGGGTTTTTTAACTGTTGCCTTTACAAGCTTCTACTTTAAGAATACTGATCCCGATTACATTAATTATGAAGGACTATCTCGTGCTACATAGTTTAGTGAACGATTAAATCTTCACAAAAAATTAAGTTGTATATTTCATGGGAAGTCATAGTATTTCAATAAACCTGATACATAATTTACTTATTTTAATTGTGTTTTTTTAATTAATGAAAGAATCCCATTGTGTCATACAAGAAGAATTGAGAACGATCTGTCGGATAATTCCTACCGAGAAAGATGTTTCACCATATCATCGACTTTGTTCAGTTTTACCAACAAGATTTATGTGGTTTGGAAAAGAACTCAGCTACATAAAACAAATTCGTCCCGGTACAACATTAATGATCCTATTATATAATAAATGAAATAGCCAGTCAGCATCCGTATTTTAAATTCAGAGCATTACGAAATCAAATGTCTTTTTGGTTATATTGTTTTTTAAGCTCATACTGATAGGGAGTAAATGTGGATAATCTTACTCAATACTTCTAGGAAATTCACAAATTTAAACTAATCAGCTCAAAGAACAAGACACAATCAAAAGTGTCCACTTGAGTGATAAATCTTTGTAAACATTTCAGAACTTATTGACTGTTATTATTTGTTGCTTCTTTTGGCATTGTAAGAACGAATCCATATTAAGAAATATTTCTATATAATTACTTGAAGTATATGGTTAGCTAACTATTTGATTTCCGTTTTTCATCTGTTTGTGATTTTATTTCAGGTTTACCATTATTTCCTGGAGAAGATGAAACTGATCAAATGGCTTGTATCATGGAAGTATTAGGTCTACCACATCCAACTCTTTTACGTCATTCATCAGAACTAGATCGTTATTTCATAGAATTCAAATGTGATAAACTGAAACCATCTACATTGGAGTTTATGGATAAAAAAGGTGTTCGGTTAAGTAGAGATGTTGTGTATCTACCACGTTATTGTTCAGTACGTTATCCAGATGGTGATAGTCCTCCACAATTATTACCAGGTATTTCAAAACGAGGTGGACATGTTCGTGGTATACCAAGTAGTTTACCATTACTTCAAGCTATTACTCAATCAAGACTACGTCGTTATAAACGTAAAGATACACGTAGTGTATCCAATTTATCATCAACAATAAATACAGCCAAAATGTCGGAGGAAGAAGAAATTTACTTAGATAAAGATAATGAATTAGTTGTAAATTTACTATCATCTTGTTTAACTTGGTTACCTGACGAACGAATTCAATCAAACAAAGCGATTATGCATCCATGGTTTAATCATTTCTATAATAATAAATCCACTATTGGTTTTCGTTCACAAGTACGTGTTAGGAGTATGGAAGTATCAAAATTTGCACCAAATAATAGTAAATTAGCTAATGAAATTAACGAACGTCATTTACTTCATGATCATCGCAATGGTCATGAATCACTGAATAAAGACTCGTTATTGCATAAAATCAATGGATTATGTAATAGTGGAAGACAAAAAACATCACGATTAAACTTAATTAATAGTCATTTGGTCAATTTTGATATTATACATAATAATTCCATTGTAGATGATTCAGTGAGAAATAATCCTGAAACTGATGTAGCGCCATGTATGGTTGATACACAGAGTAGTCCGATTCAAGAGGAAGAATTGAAAAAAACTCGTCGTAACTCTCAAATCACCATAGTGCAACAACAGCCATCATACTTGGTTACTGTTTCTAATTCGCCAAATACATGTTCAAAAAATTTGTCACATTCAACTCAACACACTGATAAAATGTCTTCTTCTGGGAATCGGCATGTTACATTCATTTATTCAAACAATATGAATAGTAATGTTATTGATAATAGAACAATAGCAACGGCCGCTACGATGACAACGACGACGGTTGCTACTATTGCTAATAGCAGTAATCAATGTGCTGATAACAAGTCAATCGTACCAGATGACAATCAGGAAGGTCAATTACTGTCTGTAAACTTATCATTTAATCATTTAAACAGTGATAATAACATTAGTAGTAATATTGATGGTGCATGTGATGATGTTACTATTAGCAATACAACTAGCAGTAATATAATTCATATGAATAAAAATATTTTGAACGATAGCACTATCAATAACAGTAGTAGTACTATCAATAGCAGTATTAACAGCAATGCCAACACTAGTGCTCTTGACGTATTGCTTCAACATTCAGATTTAGTGACATCAGTTCGTCGGTCGTCACTTATTGGGTCGTTGACGGAAATCAATAATTTAAATGGAACCCAATCCGAAGTTATTGTAGAAAAAACACGTCCTCTAATTCATACCAAACCTGATGCAATATATCAAAGTAAAAAGCTATCAGATCGTAATTCAACTAGCAATAATGATCGACCATTATCAGAATTCACTCACCATCATCACCAAAATAACCAACATCCGGTTACGGATCACGGTAAGAACAAAATTATCACAGAAAATGAAAGTGATAGCCCAACTTTTCTGATCACTGGTCATTGCTCTGACTCAACACCTCATCTACCTAACCTTATGTCATTTAATATAAATCACACTAATAATAATACAAATAGCACGAATGCGACAGTGTGTAAAATCACAAATTCACCAAATCGATATTCATATTCCAATTTGCATCAATCAGTACCATTTGTGTCTTCACTGACTATTGACAAATCATTAAACAATAGTATGAATAACATTGTAAGTATACAGAAAATGAAGCCCGCCACTGATGTGACCATGATAAATGCCTCAGCCAAACGATATTCCGTCCCAACACGTTCAAGGTTGATTGATATACCACAAGCAGAATATGAAATACCGATTATTGATCATAATAATAGTAGTATTAATTACAATCATATCAATGACTACGCTAAGCAGGATATTCATTTTATTCCAGTTACTTCATCACATGTGATAATTTCAACGGATTCAGGTGTTTTGCACAAATTAAATACAACGTGTAATAATAGCACTAGTAATATAACAAGTAATGGTCTGTATAGATATCCATCTAGCTATTACAACCAACAACAATGTGATGCATATCACAATCATAAAAATAACTATCAATATCGTCAGCAACAACCGCCATCATCGCAGTCGGTTCAATTACAACATCAAGAACAGTTCAATCGTCAAACCTCCTGTTGGTTGGCTAACAACAGTAACAACAATAACAACTGTTACAGTAACAACAATCGTAAAATTCTGAACTTTACAAGAAACCTTACAGATCCAAAAGAACATTCTCTCAACAGTCATTCGAATGGGATCAATTCAACTATTACAGGAATGAATAGTTGTGGCACTATAAATTCTACCATTATACTCCCAGAAATTGCCCCGAAACCACCTGTTCGTACAAAATTAATTATTTCAAACAGTAGTAATAATGATACTTCTAATAATACTGATTACAAAAATACAATAAGATGGCGTTCAGTTAAATCATTATCATCAGAAGACTATGGCTCTGCAAATCTATACGGCCCACAGCCTTACAGTCAACCACCCATTGAATCACATAAAATTATTGTACAACGATTACCTCAATTCAATTTGAATAATAATAATAACAATAATGGTCATGGTGGTTATACAGATCAAATTTCATCTCATTATACTCAATATGAAACTTGAAACAAGTAGTCCTAATGCTTCGCCCTATACTTTTATGAATCAAAAGCATTCTCATATATATTTATTGTTATGTTTATCAGAGTTGTATAAACGTGTTTTCTTAAGGAAAATGAATGTATGTATCAATGATCGTATAACTACTTACTAATTTTTCGATTATACACATAAATAGATTGATCAAACAATGATTTTATTCTTATTTCAGAGTATACACTATTTCTTCAATCTTCATATGTTTGTACATGTGTGCATCCATCACTATCACATACATGCACGTATACAAACTTTGATTTTTATTTAGATTTCATTTGTAATACCTTTTTTTTATGCAACACAACTAGTTGACAACAGAAATTGGTTGCTTTTTTAATTTAACAAGTAGTAATGACCTAATCCGGTTTTCTCGCTCGCTCTCTCTCTTTCTCTCTCTCTCTCTACAAACACACACTATAGGCTTACTTATGTATGTGTACATGTGCAGTGCGTATGTGTGCATACATGAAGTATATTTCAATGGTATGCTCATATAAATACTATTTCCCACCAGTTATGTGCCAGAAATATATATATATATATATATATATATATATATATATATATATATATATATATATATATAATCTGCCTTCACAAAATGCTTTAGTTGTCAACATCCTTTTCGTTGTGTACACCTACTGACATTTTATGCATCAGAATTAATTAAGAAATATTACATGTAGACTAATTATTTGAGATTAATTCAACAGAGGAAATAAAAAAAGCAGAAAAACGGACAATGTCTTTCAATAATCTTTGTTTTTATATTTTGAAAATATTATTATTAATACTGTTATCTGGTATGTAATTTTAACTTTGTCTTTTTGCGCCTCCCTTGACAACTAAATTTTCTAATTCATCAGGTTTCCTATCTCATACATAATCTTTATTGTCTGTTTATATTTTTTTGACAGACTTGACAAAACAGTGAAGCGATCAATAATTTTAACGAACCAATTAATTTCACTTATAATCAGACAATGTTCGTGTTATTTTTGTTGTTTACTGATTATTATTATTACTATTATGTTTCATTTATTTCTACATTTCCAAAATAATTATTTCCTTATTAATCTATTCACTTACTGTTAAATTTCATCTTATTCTCTTCTCTATCAATATCAGCTGATGTTTATTTTAATTGTGAATTAATGACGCTTATCAACTTTTCTTTTTGTTGTTTTCTTATTGTTCAATTTTATCAAAATAATAGTTGATAATTGAGTTATTTTCTACATTTTTTTCTCTTATTGTTTTTCTTTTTTTTCTAAAAATAAACAAACTTATTAAAAGGGTTTTCTTTTTGTCTTTATTTACAGATAATGAAATGAAATAACAATGATAATGTTAATAATAAAATGAATTATGTAATTAACTTTTTTTACACTTTTGTTTGTGTTAAATATCACTTTAGTTATTTATCAAAATAAATACTCATTGAGTTAATATATATTTGAAAGATAATCTTGTTTTGTTTTAAGGATTAATAAAATTAAATGTAATCTATTGATTGAACTTTAATTGTTAGGTAGTAGATTAAGAATTCACTTCATTTTCATTTACTGTTATATCTGGTCGTCGCTGATTGTGCCAGAAAAACGTTGATCACGTATCCTCCGAACAAGGGACCTTTGCAATTCCCACAACTCGGAAGTAAGAAGACAAGATTGGTATCAGTGAAGATTTATTAGCCCCAAAACACTATGACGACGACGATAGTGATGATTGATCCTAGTCTAAAATATACTGGTTTATATATTGATTGTACATCCATTTTGAGTAATAATTAAGATTAAATCACATACTCAGTTATAATAAGTCACTTACTGAGCATAGTTCATGTCAACTGAATACAACAATATCGTATATTATACAGAAGAAAACATCATACTGGGAAAACAAATCAAATACTACACTGAATGATCATCACATTGAATTAGAACGGAAGTAATTCTGAACAAAACTCATAATGAGTAAATCAATTGAATTTTGACTTTTCTTTTCATCATATCATTTACTACTGTCTAATTAGCTAACTAATAATAATAATTTGGGAAATTTTTGACTTAAATATTAAGTACATCAACACTTGCTTACTTACGCTTGTGACACTTAATGGAGTATAGAATGTTGTATATGATAAATACTATTCTTTAAAATATAAGTTATTTCTATGAATTCATAATAATGAATGGAGATTATGCACTCTTATTCTCGTAACTGTTCTATTCTTCTAGGATGGTGATTTCTGTTTTGATTTTAGAAAAAATATATTACCTAACCATACTTTGATTATTTGATTCAATTAATTGAATCAGTTGACATATTTTACACTTTTCATAGGGTATTGTTATTGAATAGATTCATTTCGAAGTGATCGATGAATATTGAAATGTTTATTTTACTATGAGTAATTGACTTTGAAGTTCATAAGAATGAACTTTAATGTTGTATTGCATCGTTCTGAATTTTATCACTTATTGATACTTTAAAAGATATTTTTTCCCTGAAGGCCAACGGTCAAAATTCAGAACTCTCTGTTGTTGTTTTTCTTTATTATCATATCGTCTGAATATTTGTCCTTTAAATCATTCACTCTTTATATCTTGTAAGTGACTCCTCAAAGAGATTCTCAGCCACGCCATATAATATATAATGGATGAACCTATATTTTAACTGTTTGATATAACTAAATTTGTTAAACGATTAGATAACCTGAATATATTACATCAATATCCATATATTTCTTCTTCATTAAATAAAACAACTTATGTATAACTATAAGTGAAAATAAGATTTCATACATAATAATAACTTGTTTATCTATTTAAAAGTATTACATTAAATATTCTATACTTGTTTAGAAATTGTATTTACATGTGAAGAAGTATTGTAGTGAATAAGAACAGCAACAGGGACAATCGAATGTATTTGACAACAAATTACAGAACTAGTTAGTGAAATCTAACAACTATATATTAAATGCTCAATTTGTAAAATGTCTATCAATTGTTTTAAATGACTCAGACTTCATTCGTTCTTGCATTTTCATACAAATTGCATTCTGTTTTCATTCTTTACTGTTTGGTCTTCTTGTCTCTCTGCTGCCAAACATTCTGTTCACGACTAACATCATGTGCTACTTATGTCTGCATAAGTAGCACACACCACAGTATGATATTAGTTAATCATGTTTTCACTGAATAATTGGGTTAATTAATTAATTAATTAATCAAATATTTGATAAATAACTGGCAATTATGAAAATAATCCAACAATTCAGTGTCATATACGTGCATCATTTATGAATTAATCTTGAATTTTGTTATTATTCAATTATATATACTAATTATATTCCTTATTATGTTCATATTGATTGATTATAACTATTTCAAACAGTAACTAAATAATTATATCAATATTAATTTTTCAATTATTTTAATATAAATATGAAGAATAAAAATAATGCAAAATTAGTTGATATGTATCAAATAAATCAAATTGAACTATTTCATATTATCGTAAGCTTAAAAACAAATTAATCTATGTATGTTGTCTCAATACATTCACTTCATTGTTAACTGGTTGATTTTTTTTAAAAAAAGAGGGAAATATTTCTTTTTATTTTGTAAATAAATTTGTGAATGATTAAAACAATATTATGTATCAATTTATTTTATCGCTTTTTATATATGAATATATTTCATTTAATTTAAACTAGTATTTAAGCATTCTTTTATAGTTTGCCTATCATAATAACATATTTATTATTGTTTCATATTAGCTGTTTAACTAATCCACGATCCCACTGGCGGGACTAGAACCCAGGGCCTTCAGTCTCGCGCGCGAAAGCTTAACCTACTGGACCAGTGAGCTAGCCGGCATCCAATGGTATTAGTGTCTAACATCAACCAATCCACGAAATTGGTTGACACCGTTGGATGTCAACTCAGTGGTCTGGAGGTTAAGCGTTCGCGCGCGAGACTGAAGGCCCTGGGTTCGAATCCCGCGAGTGGGATCATGGATGCACACTGCTGAGGAGTCCCGAAATAGGATGAAACAGCCGTTCAGTGCTTCCAGGTTTCTAACGGTGGTCTAGCATCAAACGGTTCATGACTTCAATCAAAAATTTAATAATCTCCAGAACTCCTTTACTAATAATCCACGATACTTGAAAATATTTTTTTAGAATTATGCTTCATAATACATGATAATCTATTCAATGAATTAGATAAATGTTTTTTTATTTATAAACTTAAATCATTCAATAAATTAATCAGTTACAAAAATCATAAAACATTACACAAATGTATATCAGTTCAATTTCATACATTTAACATTATATTCAGAGAAGGGTTTTTATGGATATTATAGTTACTTAATAGTTGAATTTATGAGTCAATCGAAGTTAGACTACCATGGAAAATCTGGAAGCACTGAACAGCTGTTTCGATCGTGGTTGCGCATTGTCGAGGAGTCCCATACTAGAACGAAACGGCCGTCCAGTGCTTCTAGGTTCTTTATGGTGGTCTAGCTTCAATTGTTTTATAAAATTCGTCATTTAACATTGGTAAAGTAAGAAAGAAGTTATGAAAGATAGATATTATATTCGATCAAATTTTCGTTTGAGATATATAGTTGAAATGGAAAAAAACTAGATATAAAGAATTGGAAAGTAAAAAGTAACATTAATCCTGAATTTTTAAAAAAGATAAATAAAAAATGCCACATTTCTATTGAAGAAACCCGTTAAGTTTACTGTTATCTATTGACTAGCTTCAATCATATAATATGAAACAAAGAGCACCATGATATCAGGTAATTTATACTGATGATCATGGTTCAAATCGATTAGCAGAATCTGATCAGTTTCGTGAAATATGGAGCATAGTATTTGTTATCACTCACTCGTTCGAATTCATCATATTTGACACTAGACATTAAGATCAAAGGTTCAGTTTCAC